TGACAGGATCGAGAGGTGAGCGAACGCCGGTATGTGTTCGCTCACTTCTCGATCTACTGAGCAGACCTGTGACAATCTCATTGTCACAGGTCGGCTAGAACTATGAGGTGAGTGAAAAGCACTCACCTCATACTTCTCCTTTAAGTCTGCGTTCAGAGAATGAGTCAAGTTTTGATTGATGGCAAAAATATTTTGCAACAAGAAAAATAAAAAAATAAAAAAATAAAAAAATAAAAAAAAATCTTTAAAAAAATAAAAACTAGGAAATAATAATAATAAAAAATAATATTCTTCTTGTTCTAATATTTTTCAACATTACATGCTGTCCTTACCCGACCTACTGCAGCTGCTAGTGTTACATTGTAACTACATATTTCAAACAGCTTCCCCAGCACACAGAGAGGATGCTTTGCAGAATTACAGCCTCCTGTCTTTTTTTTATTTCTGGATTCCACCATTGTTCTCTGAAAAGGGGGGGGAGCCCTGCCTGTACTCTGCTCAGCATCCTTGGAGGAAATTCATTTAAGCAATCAATACCCCTGTGCAGCTGTGGCATCCCCCCTCCCTCCCCTTCCCTTCCCCAGCCCAGCAGGGCTATGTATGGGTGCTATGCTGACTGCAATAGGGCATGCATCTGCTGCAGATGTGGCTGCTGTGACCTCAGCACTGCGGTCAGCTCCTTCCTCCATGCAGCCTGCAGATGACATGGTACCTTCTGCTGAGCAACTAGTATGTGGCTGCTGCTACTCACACCTACCTGATCAGCCAGATCGCAGAGCACTGTGCCAGCAAGATTGCAATCACCGCTGCCTTCACCTAGACATTTAATTTGCATTAATTTGTATTAATATTATTCCCCCCACCTTCTCCCTCCTGACAATGGAGCCAGGACCTCTGGTGCTAAGAGCCAGCACTGAATTTAGCAAAGTGAGGAAAAGGTAGGTGTGCACTTGTGCAGAGGGGGCACACTAATCCATTGACCTTCCCGATGAGTGTGCTTGTCTGTGTATGTGTGAATGGCAGGTGGGTGGCACTAGAGGAAAATCAACTGCTTTGCATGGTCTTCACATTCCATTTTTGCCTACTTGAATTCCTTGCTGGTTTAGCCTGTAGTGTGCACTGCTGAGTCTTGCTTTTTTGGCTTTTTTTTTTTTTGCTGCAGTTGGCAGTGCCATGTTGGCACCGATGGAGGCAAAGAGCCATTCTGGCACTGCCCCCTTGGCTAAGGCTGAAGAAGGGGTTAATACAGTGTGTGCCAGGTTCACAGGTCCAGCTCTCTGGGGCTTGGAGAGGTTGCTCGTTGTCATGGACAAGAGGGCACTTTTTCGGGGTATTGGTCAGCTTATTTGGCTAGGGCGGATTGTCAGCTAGGATGTACACTTGGAAAGAGTGTGACTGCCTGTATGTATGT